TGTTGTTACCACAAATCACTAACCCTCTGCCTCTCGTTTCTGACAACGTGTTCACGTAGATTGACAAGAAGCAATATGATAAGATCCTTGACCTCATTGAGAGTGGGAAGAAGGCAGGGGCCAAACTGGAATGTGGAGGCGGCCCCTGGGGGAATAAAGGCTACTTCATCCAACCCACAGTTTTCTCCAATGTCACTGATGAGATGCGCATTGCCAAAGAGGAGGTAAATCGCTCCATTCTCTTCTGTTCCCTGGGTGGCCCCGGTTAGTCTGCATGCGTGCATCCAGTGTCCACTTAAGACATTCTTCTCAGCTTTTGTAACATCTTTTCAGTAAATTTTCTTCTCCACATGTATCAGGGATAAGAGTTTCAGTAATTTGCGAGCCGGACTAAACATGACATTTAGCTGACCGAGAATTTCCAGTCAAAGGCTGGTTGGGAGGCACAGCGGTGTCTAGGGGCTTCCTTCACAGCCTGGAAGTGACGGAAAAGAAAATGTTGTCTTTATGTCGATTTTCTCCTTCCTTTGAGGTGATAAAGTATTTACGTAATTGTGACAGCTGGTAAGTTTTATGGTGTTATCATTGTAGATCCACAAACTGAAATAGACCAGAAAGATCTCTCGCACTCAGTTTCTACTACATTTCTCACTCTGCTACGTCCCTGGCCAAGGGCCATCCGGTCTCTTAGACATTAGTGATAGATGGGTCACTAGTTCTTGAGAAACATCTATGTTTGAGCGGTTCTCTTTATTAGAAAAGTCTGCCTGTGGCTGGCTAGGACTCTCTGATAGTATGCAGGCTGTCTCTGTTGTTCCCATATTTGCCTACTGGCCCTTGTCATTGTAGTAATCTATGGATTTGAAAAGTGTATTCACCCTCTATATCACTACCCACTTCCCGGGTTCTCTCAGCTCCGTATGTTTTACTCATTAGACTTCCTAAGTTTCCTAGGCAAATATATTATTGATAACTATTGGATGATCACAAAATATTTTAACGCATGGCCCAGAGATGTGATCAAAAGCTTTAACAAGATAGTGTGCAGAACACGCTGCAATCAAGTTCGGTCGCCCAATCGGGCAAGCTAGAACTGCTCCCTACAGTTCTCAAGACTCTAAACCACGGACTGCCAGAAGAGTAAACAGATGTCTTGGACGGGATAAAGAATGCTCCTCAGAGGCGAGGATGGTGAGACTCCATCTCTCCTACCTTGGACACGTTATCCGGAGAAACCAGACCCTGGAGAAGTACAGCATGCTTGCTCACGTAGCGGGGAAGTGAAGAAGAAGACCTTCGACAAGATGGCTGACCCAGTCATGAGTCATTCATGACCCCTTCAGTGGCCCATTCATGAGCTGCCACATAAGAACAATCGCAAGAATAAAACAGGACTAGGCAGGGCTTCGTTCTGCCGTACATTGGGGTCGTCATGAATCAGAACCAACTCAATCACGCCTGACACCAACAACTCTTTTGGGGAGCAGAAATTCTCTTTGGCTGGTGGGTTCAAACTGTTGACCCTGCAATTCGCAGCACACTGCATAAACAAGGATGCCACCAGAGCTTTTTAGTTTGCATTAGAAGCTGTAAATAATCAGGACCATGGTACTACTGCATACTCTGATGTGCACATTAAAAGCGTGTTTAGCATTTATGATATGGCAGAGGCTCTAAAAGAGCTATTCAGCCAGAATGCTCCTTAGAAGCCGGGATGGCGAGATTCATCCCACGTGCTCTGGGCGTATTAAGAGAGACCAGGTCCAAGGACATCATGCTTGGTACAGTGGAGGGGCAGAGAAAAAGAGTCCGGCTCTT